GTGTGTGTGTGTGTGTGTGTGTGTGTGTGTGTGTGTGTGTGTGTGTGTGTGTGTGTGTGTGTGTGTGTGTGTGTGTGTGTTTTCCCCATGGTCTTCTCAGTGTTAAGTGCAGTGCCTTTAAGATGTGCTAAATAGTCAGCGCCTGCTTGTTAGAAGTCCCTGCAAGGCTATAAGGGCGCCCACTGTTTTCAGGATGCCTGCCTGTGTCTCCGTGTCTGCTATATATGCTGCCCAGTGCATAATGCGCTGCGTGCCTTCCTGTGTTCCGGCATGCACGCCCACCTACCCGCATCCCCGCCCGCCATGCCTTGCTATAATTCGCCTGTCCACACTGCAGTGCACACTTTGCAGTATTTGCAACCCCGTTTTGCAGCAGACCGGTCGGCTTGAGACAGGGTTTGGACTCTGGAGCTGCTCATGACTCAAAGCATTGTCAGGGGATTCTGCACACTGTCAAGGGTTCAGGAACTTCAGTCCACTGATGAGTTGGTGGGTGCAAGTCCACAGTCCGTCCCTACTGCTGTGTTCTCGCTATCCACATCCTTATGGGGTGTCTGCTTCTGTTCGTTGTATCTGCATGTGTATATGAACCTTCCGGAATAATTTCAAATCGCAGGTAAGTCCTGCATAAGTGAATGGGACAGAGGGTGAACTGGGGGTCCATGGTTACGCCTGAACCTATAGACCAGAAGGTACATAGTGGTATACAGGTTCCGCGAGTAACCATGTATACCACAAGGCTCCGGGTGTAACTCGTTAGGAATCACCCCTACGACCTGCTTCACACCTGTGTACAGGGTTGCATACCTGCCGACCGCCGACCACGACCGCCGACCGTTTTGCAGCCGACCAGTAGGACCGACCGGTCGACAGTTTGGGGGTGTTGGGGGGGTGTATGGGGGTATTGGAGGTCGGTATGGGGGAGTTGCTGGCGTTATTAGGGGTTCTGGACTGTTTTTTTTTTCCTTTTTTTTTTGCGGGGTGCCGACAACCCCCGACCGGTAGGTGCCGACCAGCCCACCAGTCAAGGGCCGCCGACCGTCGGTGTATGCAACACTGCCTGTGTATGAATAGGGGGCAACTGGCTACGCCCAACCTGTGAGCCACAAAGTACGATGTGGTATACAGGTCCGGGCGTAACCAGGTATACCACAAGCTTCCGGGGGTAACACCCTAGGAATCAAACCTATGACCTGCTTCATGCCTGTGTATGAATAGGGGGTTTCTGGTTACGCCCAGAAACTGTAAACCACAAGCTGCGTGGAGCTTCGTACCACTTTCTTCTATAGCATACCCACACACACGTACACCACCGTTGAATCGATTCCTGGAAAAAAAAGGGTCCAGAAGGTTTCACTACTATAGCATACCTGCTTCATGCCTATCTCGGACTCCTTCGGTGCGAGGTCATAGGTTCGATTCCTGGTGAGTTGATCGTGGATTTCTTGTGTGTTAGTAAGTTGGATTTTTGACAGGTTTGACGATTTGATCCCATCAAGGATCATAATAAGGAGGTTTCACTCTCTAAGTTCTAAACTGTCACTGTTTCACACTTATAAAACCCCAGGATAGCAGGCAGCAAAATAATGAAGGTCAACATTCTGTGACTTCTGTCAAAC